AGGTTTCTTCTAGGAAGCATGCTGAAGTAAGAGCAATGACGTCTAGAGAACACAGTACTTTTCCAAACTTAGCTAACATAAACTAAATACATCAATACAATGTACTGATGGCCAATAAATAATAAATGAGAAATGTTATTACTTTTGCATCAGTATTCTGTTCTACCAAGAAAATCAAGAACCAGCCATGTCGTGTTATTGAGATCTTGCGCATAAAATTTCTTACGTTGCATTTCTACACTCTTCAAATTTCACATGGAGAATTATAGATAGTTTGTGTTACTCAGTACCTTATGTACATAAATATTTCTCACTCTCTAGATGATCTAAACAATTAACTAACAAAGACAAACACCATCATCACGATTTCAGCCATGATTCCAATCTTAATTTCTAGTATTCTCATCACCAGACCACCTCCACGGTAATGTCAATGGTTACTGTAGAACATTGGGGAACAAGCGAGAAACCAACGCCAAAAGCCACACCAATGAGAGCATTGGCAGTAGAGCTGTAAAACAATGTGGGTAAAGGCCAATTTGAAGATGAAAATCGTGTGAGGTAGGTGGTAGTAGTTGCATCAGTGGTTGAGGTTAATGGGGCCAATTTTACTTTGGAGACATGAGAGAATTGATCAAACGCATATTTCAAGTTGAAGTGATGGTACGTAGATGGTGCTTGAATCTTTTCATTCAATTTGGACTTTGTGAAAAGAAATCTGATCACATAATGCTCATATTTCCCAATTGCTTCTCTAAGTATGAAATGTATCAGAAAAGTTCAAAAAAATTGCCATCAGACTGACTCTTCTACTTAAGGAGGAAAATCAATGTTTCAGTTAGGCATTCTCCATCGTTCAATTATTCACAGCCAAAGAACGCTTGAAGACAAATATCAAGGCACTTGAAAAAGGAAAACATAACAGAGGTTAACACAACTCCATATGTTTAAATTGTTTTTTCTTTTTTAATATGAAATACACGTTAAAAATTACATTCATTTTAAAAGTATAAAAATTTAAAATTTAAAATTAAATTACAATAACAAATAACAAAATGAGAAAAATATTGACAAAACCTACACAAAGTTAGGACTCAAACCCAATGACCTCAATGTTGTGACAATTACACGCCTCGGAACAAGTGTAAATATGCATATCAAGTTGAAACCAAGAGAGCTACACTTAACTGAAATGTACCCAACATTGAATTTTCCCTTGGAAATAAACATAGGTGCAAACATTAGGCAGATGATAGAAGGCAATTGAAGGAAAGAAGATCCCATGGGGCATAGGGGAAATTTTAGAGCATAAATAAGAAAAACCCAAAAATATTAAAAAAATAGAAATATTTATTCAATGTTTTAAATACAACCAAACAAAAAAATGGACATTTTATGGAGACATTGTAGGAAATGGAAACAAAAATTTGATAAATAGAATATTCATTAAGAGCAAAGAGGATGCCAGGGGTTGGTTAAGCTTCAAAAATGCCTGGAGGATGGATATGGGTAGATCTGAGGATGTCTGAGGCTTTTGTAATTACCGTTTGTTTAAATGTCCAATGTCGTTTTATTGTTATGGACTTCGCTCCCCAGGCCCAATCCATTTTATCAGCCCAGCGATCATGAGATCTCCGACACCGCATCTGGTATCCGTATCACTCTCTACTCGTTAGCCAAAAAAAAAAAAAGTATCCCTCCAGAATTTCCCCCTAAATGTTTTTTTTTTTTTTTAAATTTTTGTTCACAATATAATAAGATACTCCCTCTGTCTGGAAAATATATGTTTTTTTACTTAAAATTTATTCTAAAATAATAAAGTAAATAACGATAAATGAAACAAAAATTTAGAATTAAAATTTAAAATTAATGATGTAATTAATATAAGTCATATTACTTAAAATATTAAAAAAAAGATCTTATATTATTTAATAATTATTTTTTTATTTTTTTTAAATTTATAATATTATATGTATCAATTAATTTAATAATATGATATACATCACATCATTAATTTTAAATTTGTTGTACCAAGCTTTTATTCTCTCTATCATTACTCATACAAGAAAATAATAATAACAAATAACAAATAATTTTATATATATCCATTTATTTGATATTTAATTATTCTCAATAGTCTTCACATTATAACGTATCATTTACTTGCACTCGGTCTATTTGACTTCACAGTTTACCCAATGAAAGTGCAGTGTAACTCCTTAGCCTGCAAGGTTCATGAATTCCCCACCCCAAAATTTGTATTAGTTAAAAAAAAAAAATACTTAAACATCAAAGTAAAATATGCTCCATCTAGACACATATATCCAATTCAGCTCAAGACCAACCCTAGCAAACTTGGAACCAAGTTGGTCAATGGTCTTCAAATCAAAAACCGGCTGACCAGTCATACTACAAATCAATCATGGGTTCTTAATAGAACCAAGACCGGATCAAATTGGCATCGATCCAGCTTTCAGTGAAATACCCGACCTATAACTGGTCCAAAGTAATGCATTTTCTGAATGTACTACATCTTAATTGATATCCCTACAGACTTGTTATCCATACTATAAATCTTTCTTATTGTTATTAGAATATTTTTATAAGCATTCTTTTTGTAATACATACATGAGATTATAAGTGGAGTATCACTTATACTTCTTATTATAATAAATCATTTTCATTCATCTAAAAAAAAATCGATATCCCTACAATAAAAAATTCATGCCTGTTTGAATCGAACAGAACCAAAGCCAAATTAACCCATTTTATAAGCCAATTGTAGTCATTAATTTCGCAAAACCATGAACTGGGCTTTTATGTTTAATGATTTGACCCCAATCCTTAAGTGCTTGGGTGAGGTGGTCGGAGTTTTGAACTTTACCACCATCGTGAGCTCCACCAAATATGACTCAATAGCCGCGCACCTCATTTGAAATGGTGAAATGTTCAACTAGTTTAGGGATCGAATCTTCAGTTGCTAATAACTAATTCAAACTAACTTTTTGACCATTACCTTTGTCGAAAAAAAAAAAAAATACAAAACCATACTCTTGATTTCGATCTAAAACAAAACCCAAATGGACCGGTGGCCATTACTTGGTCCAACCAATACCGTACAAACAATTCTCCATTCAGTTAAGAAAGTCCTCAACTTCTCACCTAATCAAACCTCCCGCTTCAATTAGAGATTTATAGAATGTACTCAATTTAGTTATCATTTTAAATACTAGAATCTTGATCCCAAATATCAACTGAAGAGCAAGATCATATTTATGCACGTTAGTTTGGAATGTAATCTATGAAAGATTATTTTATGTTATATAGTTTAACATTTAACGTTGAAGGTAGTATTGATAGGATAGGATACCTTTCAACGAAATTTTGCTATTTGTTAAGAGTTTTTAACAATTATTTTTATTACTAATACCATGCTAAATATATTATTTTGGTACTTACTTACCTACCAAAATTTTTTGGCAATTATATCCTCTACCATGATCATATCAATATTTGTCAAATCCATTTGATACAATTTTTTCATTTTTCATTTGTAAATTTGAAGTATTAAGTTACTTATAAAGGAAAAAAAATCAATTTATAATGGAAATATTAAAAATATACTAGTTGATAAATTATATAACTTTAAGTTTAGAATTTTTACTTAAAATATATATTTATATATAGTAAATGGAAAAATTTAGACATCTTGATTTTAAAAATATCAAAACATTTAATGATAATTATATTATATATTTGATAAAATTAAAACTCATATTATATTTTACAAATTTAATAGTTATAATTAAATATTTTAATATTTTTAATATAGGATGTCCTTTTTTTCTTTTTAATATATTTTTAAATTTTAATTAACTTAAAAAACATATAAAAATAAAAATTCCTGATTACTTATAAGTAAGAGTTTACTCACATTGATAATTATTACAAGGAATGAGGTTTTTTTAGTATATGTCCTTAAATTGTATTTTAAGTATGTAATAAATATATTTTTTTATTATTAATTTATATTAAAAAATAAAAATTAATATTCGATTTATTAATGATTTAATTAAATTTATTTACTTATTACAAATATTAAAATTAATATTAATTTATATATATTTTTATATATATTTATAATAAAAAAATACTCTTCTTATGTATTTTAAAAACATTCATTAAAAAAAACCATTATTGATCACTGTTAGAAATCAACGTATATTTCCCGTAATATGACATGTCCAGTCGTTATCTTTTTCTTTGAAAGTTGCAAGCACGCAACGTGTGGGCCCGGTCAAAGGTAAATGGAAGAAAAAAAAGCTCGTCCGAGTACAACGGAAGTGGGGGCCCTCATCATCATTCTCTGTCTCTCCGGCCAATGACGGTTAGCCTTTCCATTCATCTTTCCCGCCGATTTTTCCCACACGCTAATTACTGTTTGATTATGTATATTGTGTGCCCGTCAAAATTATAGCACCAAAAAAATGGCTAAATTCATTACGGCCCTTCAAAGAAAAATAGGAAAAGGCATTCAAAAAAAAAAAAGAAAAGAAAAAATTTCAGTAAAAAGAACAATAAACAGAAAATAGATTGTGGGGTGACTGGTGGGGGCTCCTCCACGCTCCAGAGAGAGAAAAAAAAAAAAAGAAAAAGAAAGAAAGAGAGAAAGAAAATCTCTGGAAAATTGAGAGGGAGAGAAAACAGAAGGAAAAAAAAACACACACACACTCACACGAAAGATTATTAGTTAGATTAGAAGAACGGAGGAAAAAAAGAAGTCTAAAGGCAGGCTCTCCCTCCTTGGAGAGACCCAGTGATGGTCGAAGAGAGGGTATCAATGTTCTGAGGTCATCCTGAAAGGGGCAGTAACAGAAGAAAATTGGTTCCTGCCAATATCTGCAAATCCCATTTCTCATATATATATATATATATATATATATATTTGTTTGCTGCCTTTTTGAGTCCCAATCGAACTCCCTCCATCTCCACCTATCACCAACCTACATTGTGCCACGGATTCAATAGTTTGGTTGTCGCTACCGTATCAACCCACCAACTCGAAAACCCATCATTATCTCACAATATCAGCTTCAGAAAGAGAGAAAAGTTTTGATCTTTTGTGCCCTTGACGGTAAATTTTGCTCCTTTTCTGTGTTTTTGGCTAAAGGGGTCCCCTTTTGCTTTTCTGGGGATTGCTTGCTCATGAGGGTATTCTTTCTTCCCCTTGGTGCTTGCCAAGTTGTATAATTTTTTTCATTTTGCATTTTCAGCTCCTATACTGCATTGTGGAGATTGTAAGGAGAATTTGTATGTAGTTTTCAAAATGACCGTTGTGAGATCAATTTGAGAAGAAAAAGACACGAAGATGAGGGACCCTGATACAGTCATTATCAAACGCGGTTAATTTATATATCTTTGTAATGTAGTTTGTGATTTGTAGGGAAAATATTACATTTGCGGTTTGTTGTACCAAAAACAAGTGTAGTTTCTTTCTTGTTGTTCTAGCGTGTTTGAAGGGGGTGCTTTGTATGGGAAAACGTGGCGATTTTGTATAGCGTCCTGGCTATTGGAAGATATAATTGCTACCTCCACCACTGCGGCTTTTGGTCCTTCAAGCAATGGGGGGTAGATGGAATCCAATTGGGTTCCAGTTCTACTGCTTCTTAATTTCGAGTTTTTGTCTCATGATTCAAGGGACTTTGTCCCTTAACCCCGAGGGTAATTCTCCTTTGATGGGGTTTTAAGATTCTTAATGTAGTTCCTAAATTCAATTGTTAATTTTTCTTTAATATTTTGTAATGGAATCTGAAAATGCAGGATTGGCTCTGTTAGAATTCCGGACGAGAATCAGGTCTGATCCTAATGGTGCTGTTGCCAGTTGGAATCGCAATGATAGCAATCCCTGCATGTGGTTTGGGGTTCGATGTGTAGACGGTAAAGTGCAATTGCTGTAAGTCCACAATATATTTTGTCTTCTACGCTCATTCAATCACTGTCATGTTCTTCATATCTTCAGTAATGATTTTATTCGGTGCTGGTCTCATGTCTGGTATAATACAGCATTGACCTTCGTCATGGAGGTTCTGCTTTAGAAGATCTTTACCTTGAGGAACTAAATGGTTGATGTGTTCAAATGTCTTTCTGTTTGCTTGTAGGGATCTGAGTGATCTTTCTTTGGAAGGAAATTTGGCACCTGAACTCGGGAAACTTCACAACCTAAGATCTCTGTAAGAATTCATAATCTTGCTGTATAGCATTAAGTGCTGGATTTCAGTTTTAATAATATGATACAGAAGAAGAAAATGTTTAAGCATGCAGGTAGCTGTCTGATGATATATGTAAATTCGAAGTTGCTCCATTATCAGTAGTTGATTTTGACAGCTCACGTGTACTTCTGAAGTTGCTTGTTCTGATCTTTTGATCTCATCGAGTTTTCTGGTTCTTGCTATTCTGTTTGTATTAACAGCGTGCTCTGTAAAAATCGGTTCTCTGGTACAATTCCAAAGGAATTTGGAGGGCTTACAGAGCTGGAGCTATTAGATTTAAGGGACAATAACTTGGGTGGAAGAATTCCCGAAGAGTTAGGCAGTTTGCTGTCTTTAAAACGCTTGTGAGTTAGTGATATTAATTTAATGTGTATGAAGTGCTCTACAGTCTGTTACCTTTTACTAAATTTCCTTTTTAATTTTAAACCTAGGTTGCTTTGTCACAATAAATTTGAAGGCAGAATTCCTTTGGATCTTGGGAGGCTCAACATGCTCTCTGAATTGCAATTTGATATAAGCCTTACTTATTCTGCGGATAGTGGAATTGGCTGTTTGAATAGAAAGTTTGGACACTGGTAAGAGCAATGCTCAATGCAGTACAATTCTTGTCACCTTTCTCAATACTTTCCCATCCCTCCTCCTTAAGCTCATATTCACCAACATCACAAGGATGCCTGCTGCAAAGCAATTGGTACTCCTTCAAGCCAGTGGACAATGATTGTCATCTAAAGCAGATTGATACCTCTTCTTTCAGGCTCATTATTGTAGAAAATCATTTAAGTGCTTAGTTTTTTGAAAGTCTTGCTGCAAAATGATTAAAAAAAGGCAGGGGAAAATGTCCCTTCGATTGTTCCATTAATTAACATCAACTAATTGCATAATCTCTTTTGATTGACAGCATCTGGAATAGCACTTTGAAACAACTAAACAAGGCGGAATCTTTCTTCATCCCAATTAAAGGAGCAATTTTACGTTACCTCAACTTGTTGCCACTGCACCTGTATGAATATAACGAGTTTTGTCTGTTACTCCTGTACTTTAGTTGTTGGTTATACTGTTTTAGTTTTCTATCTTTCTTTACCTTGCTCTCTCTCTTCATACAATTTACTTATTATAAGGTTCAAGTTGCAAAAGAACTCACTGGGGGGATGTCAAAACTGTGCTGATGTTATTGGTGAGTAGAAAGATTTCTTTATCTTAGTGCATGTACATCAATTTTATGCTTCTGGTTGACAAAATGATGATGATTCCCTCATCAAGTAGGTTCATCTGAGCAACACATGGTGCAGAATGTAAGGAATATTGTCCACATTGTACGTCGTAGACTGCTGGAGCAGACCCAGAACCTTCCAGCCGTGCCTGCTGAGGGGGAGTCAACTGCTGATCAGATCATTGCTATCCCAATAACCAGAAGCAGCGGAAGTTTCCCAGCTGTGCCTAAAGAAACAAATACAGAGTCTCCACCTACACCACATGATCCTCCAGTACAAGGGACAACTTCAGGCCAGTCTCCTCAAACCTCTGCTGGAGCCAGTCAACAGCCTTCAACGCCTGGGAATTTATGGAAATATCTCATTATCATTCCTTGTGTGGCTATCTTTCTCATTTTTCTAATCATATTCATCCTATGCCGAAAACAAGCAGCAAAAGCCATATGTCCCTGGAAAACAGGAATAAGTGGACAATTACAGAAAGCATTTATCACAGGTAACCTTGTGATGTGATAAAATGTACCTTATTCAATTATTTGGTAGCTAATAGCTACCCAATTGTTTTGGCTTGTTGAACCGTCAGATAATTGAACCAGTCAATCAATTCTATTTTCTTCAATATATTGCTCAAATAAAATCTGTTGCACATCACTGAAATTGCATGGTCTAACAAAGTTATAAACGCATCACAATCATTTGAGCAAGTAGCAATACTTGAACATGACTCCCCAAAAAATGCCATTTATTTTCAAACTCAATGTTTATTCATGAGTGTATTGTTATTGCCTTGTCTTTGTCAGTGTCCTAGTTTGTACTGTGGAGTATTGGCATAAAGTTTTGTGGTATATATTATCAGACAGCTAAAATTTCAATCAGTTTCCAACACATATGGTTATGTATCATTGATTGTCTGTGTAATTCAAAATGCAGGGGTGCCAAAGCTGAACCGAGCAGAGCTGGAAACAGCCTGTGAGGAGTTTAGCAATATCATTGACACCATAGATGGTTGTACCTTTTACAAAGGAACACTTTCAAGTGGAGTTGAGATTGCTGTGGCATCGACTTCTATTAAGTCTTCCAAAGACTGGTCAAAGAACTCAGAGCTTGCCTACAGGAGAAAGGTTTGCTATTTTTGTTTATCAATGGAAATCAACTTTATGACTATTTGCAGATATTTATTGCATGCTTTGTTAAAGTCTTTCACATTTTGTGCTTATTGTAGATTGATACACTATCACGAGTTAACCACAAGAACTTTGTCAATCTTATTGGCTGCTGTGAGGAGGATGAACCTTTCAGTAGAATGATGGTGTTTGAATATGCTCCTAATGGAAACCTATTTGAGCATCTACATGGTACTCTTATCCTTATGTACATCTTTTTGCAGTAGATCTTTCAGTCAGTATGGTAGTTTTTTTGTTTCATATGCTAAAGTATATATTTCTGTCATCAGTTAAAGAAATGGAACATCTTGACTGGAATGCAAGGATGAGGATTGTCATGGGGATAGCTTACTGTCTTCAGTATATGCACCATGATCTTAACCCTCCTGTAGCACACTCACACCTGACTTCAAGTGCAGTCTATTTAACTGATGATTATGCTGCAAAGGTACATGGCAGTATTTGCCACAAATTCAGACAATATTCTTCTTATGTTTTATGTACAATGAATAAAATGTCACAATGACTTCATCTCCGTTACTCTCTCAGGTTGCAGAAACATCCTTTGGTCCACATAAGTCAAAGATTTCCAGTGATGATGGATCAGAGCATTCAGAATTGCCACCCAATGCTGATCCAGAAACAAATATCTATAGTTTTGGAATCTTGTTGCTCGAAGTCATTTCTGGAAAGCTTCCTTACTCAAAAGAACTCGGACCTCTTGAGAAATGGGTACGTTTGTAACGAAACCTTTCATCTCATCCCTAGATTTTGATAACTCAACAATCTTTGAAAACATTTCAGGCTTCTCAATATCTGAACGACAAGAAGAGCATCACCTACATGGTTGATCCAACCCTCAAATCCTTCAAGAACAATGAGCTGGATGTCATCTGTGATATTATACAAGAATGCCTCCAAACCAATCCAATGCTGAGACCAACGATGAAGGATATCGTATCCAAATTGAGAGAAGTGATTACCATCACACCTGATCAAGCCACCCCAAAACTTTCCCCACTCTGGTGGGCTGAGCTTGAGATTTTATCAGTGGAGGCAACTTAACTAAGAACATTCTCTGACCCTCTTCTGTGTTGTAAGTCAAAAGTCTCTCTTTGTTTTGTTCTGTATTAAAAAAAAAAAAAAAAATCCCAAGGAATAGCATTTTGATCCATGCTCCCCTCAGATCAACAAGTTCCTTACACTTCTTTCATTTTGAGTCTCTTTATTTCCTTACACACATACGTATCTTTTATTCAATTTTTTTCATTTCTCTCCAACAATAAAGACGTGTTCATATTTATACTAGTTGTACTTGTATATGTGTCCTGGGGTCAGAGTCTGCGTTGTAAAATACTAAAATAGAGTCTGGGGCTTTCCCAGCAATCTATGTGTTTCCTCCTTAATATAAATATGGTTGTTAAGAAATTTTGATAGCTTGAATCATAGTTGTATATTTATGGCGAAAAAGATCATACTTCTATATAGATTATTCTTATGGATTTCTTTGAAATCAAATTTAGAGAACCCAATTTCTATTTTTTAGTCTGAACTTACCAAAATTAGTATAGGTTTTGAAATGTCATTTTTTACTTCAATGAAATATTTCTAGCTATAACAGATGATTTTCTTTTACAGTTTGAACTAAGAAATACCTTTTTAAAAAATTAAATAAAGAAAAAGGTAAAATCTAGAAACACGAAGCATGTTTAATTTAGAACACAAGGCAGGCATGACTGAATGGCATGCAGTTCATTCTGGTAGCAGCCCATTCTTTCGGCTTTCTCTTCTCTTTCCCCATTGCCGCAGTTGAATCTGGAGCATGCAAGTCCCTGCTAAGAAGTCCACGCTCTGCTGTGGACTCAGGACATCGAGAATCCCTTTCAATGTCTTCAGCTTGACACAATCCGCCGCCTTCATCGTCCTCTCCACCCATCTCATTACACTCTTTAGCGCCACCTCTTCCAACCCATCCACCTCCAGCCCCATGCACTCCTCGAACAGAAGCAATTCCACAATCTTCCTGTCCGCATGCCCACCTGTTGCCTCTCCATTTCCTCCTCCACTCTCTCCCCCTCCAAACCTCACCTTCCTCACTCCTCCCCTGCTCCTCAGTCAACCGCGTCAAACTCCCACCCGGAACCCCTGTTTTCCTCGTGGAATCAAGTAGCCGAAACATGGCAGACGGCTTCCACCCAGTAATCCATGAAGAAGTATGCTCCAGTTTGGTTAACCAAAAACAGGAGAAAAGAAAGCAAACACATCTTCACGAGCTTCCGCCCATTTCACAGTGTAGTATTCCTTATGATGGGATGTCAATTTCAAAACCAGAGCTTTCTGCTCTTCTCCACGGGAAATGCTCCGTTCAGACATCATAAGCAGCAGATTAAAAATCTAAGGAGCTATATATATATATATATATATATAAATGGAGCTGGAGAGGGAACAGATGGAGAAGTGCATGGCGTACACGCGAAGCAGTGATGATAAGAGCAATGTGAGTCAATTGGAGTAGGAGTGGTAGTGTAACATTCGACCGTGTGTGCAGATTTTCTCGTTTGGAGACAGGAGTCCATGTTGGAAGGCCGTTGAATTAAATACAAAATAAAACTAACAAGTGGAAGGAGCTCAATTCGAAATTGAACCCACGCCTCCAGGGTGAAAGCCTAGCATCCTAACCGCAAGACGACATTGGAGGTGCTGACTCCTGATATAAAGTTTTTTGTATTTGTTTTCATCCAATTGTCTGGATGATGTTTTTTTCCGAGAAAATTTGTGTAGTCCACTAAATTATATAATTTAAATTCTTAAGTAAAAAAGAAATCTTTTAATGTTAAAGATTATTTTTATTTAATAAATTTTAATTTAAAATTTAATATAATTTAAATTATAAAATAAGATACCCTTATAAAATTGATACCTTTCAAAATTCAACACATTTGGTAATTGATAGAGAGGAAAAAAGAAAAAAAAAACAGCGAGTTGATCAAGGTAATGATAAACAAGTAGATCAGAGTGCCTGGATTGCTGAAGGAGATGATCAAGAAAATGACCAAACCATGAACATGGTCTTCTTTTCTTTTCTTTTCTTTTTTTTTTTTTAATAAAAAAATGTAATTTTATGGTGGAGGGGATAGATAGGAGGCTCGAACCAACAGGGTTAGGCAGAGTTCAAGGTACAAATTAATTTTAATGCTAGATTTTTTAAATAGAGATTCTTGCTAAAAAGGGAACCCAATTTCTTTTTATAGCAACATTTATCTAACGTACCACTACATTGCTTGCATTAGACATTTTAAAGTATTCTTTTTATTTATTTTTAATAAATTTAGTTTGATTTTTTAATTTTTGAGGCATAAATTATAAATAAAAATGTAATAACTTATATAAATAATAATTAAAAAATTTACATAAAAGTTTTAAAATATTTTCATTCAATTAAAAAATTTTAATTATTATGTATAAAATATATTAATTTTTTATTTAAAATTTATATTAAAAATTTAAAAATAAAACCAAGATTTTTAAAAATAAATAGAGGGGTAAAAACTTTCCAGATTCTATGTGCAAGCATCCTTCAAACTGGTAAAAAAAGGGACAGATGAGGTAATGAATTTTTAAAACAAGTGATGATATGCCTCATTTATTTCCTTTCATTTTGTCCTGTAAGTCAATCTTAATTTACACACATGTCTGTCAGTGCAGGTGGCCCATTAGATTTGCTGTCCTAATGATAACCAGTGCTTTTTTTTTTTTGTTTTTTCTTGTTTTGGGCCCTACAAAAAAGCCGAAGCGTGTTCTACATATAACATTCAACTAAACAAATAAAAAATCCTTTTCCTTGACAAATAAAGGAAAATCCTCTACCACCACATGCACAGAAAATCCCTCCATAATATCCTGCCCTGTTCAGTATATTCGCGTGAACAGAATGCATGTCGATCAGGGATATGAAGTAAATAAAAAATAATAATATAATTATAAGGGTAAGAATTTGTTTATATATAAATTTTATATATTATATTTATATAAAATTTTAATAATTTATTTTTTTACATGTAATTGTTTAAATTTATTTATATTTATTAAAAATAATTTTTTATTTTATTTAAAAAATTATAATAAATCTCAATTATAAAAAATAAAAGAATAAATGATTAAAATTTTATATAAATATAAATAAAAATTATCTTATAATTTATCTTATAATAGATTGTAAAATCAGCACCATCAAAAGAAATGGACCCTTGATATTAGACTCACCTCCCGTCTTTTTTTATGATCTTGATTTTACAATCCGTTATAGGACAGATCTTAAAACAAGAACCTCTAAATATAATTCATAAAACTTGTCATTTTATGGTTAGTTAATTATAATATTATGTAATATTATAAATTTATAATTCTAATTTCTAACTTGTCATTTTATGATTAGTTAATTTTATTAAGGAACTTATTGATAATATTATATATATATATATATTTATTTAATATTATATTAAAATTATAAATTTATAATCTCAATATAATATTATAACTGTAATATCACCAAAGTCAATACTCTTCTCTTAGAGTTTGAATAAAACACGTATATTAATAGGTCTTTTACTAAGAAAATTACTAATTTCCAGCCGACCAAGACCAAGTATAATCAATAGTTTAATTAGCAGGAAGTTTCCAGTTAATCCATGTTTATATATTTTTTTGAACAAGGCAATTTAGGAAATTGGGGATGGAATCCGTGAAATTTAAACACGCGCACATATGAGGTGACGCCAGCTTGGTTGTGATTAGTTGGCCCGGGCATGGGGATCGTTAATCCATATTCTTAAGATGGGAACTTCTCCAGACTCAAGAACAAGTTTCCCTAGTGTTACGGTCATTCTGACAGGGACTACGCTGGATAATGTGAAACCAATGCCTCACATTCTGTTATAGATAAGGATTATCAGAATGAAAAACAGATAGTTCTGAGGCGTGATCTTATTCTCTTTAAGGATTCAAAAATCCTTCAGGATACAACAGAACTCAAACTCTCTCAAAAACTAGATATAGAACTTTGACTTTGCATAGAAATTTATATTGATTGAAAAGTCACTACTTGTAGAGATGTATCCCTTCAGAAAGATACCATTTCATAGAGGTACTTTTAGACTTCCAAAAATTATCCAATATTCAGACATGTCTTTTCAGATTAAAATTTAATAAATTAAATTAAAAATCCGAAAATAAAAAATAAATATTTTGGAAGTCAAGCCCCAAGGTGCCCAAGTGCCTATTTTCCAAGTGCCCATCTTTGACTATATATAAAGGGTAAAGCCCAATTTATCTTGAGTTTCACTTTATTTATCTATTTGTTAATAACAAATAAATCTTTATAAATTCCTTTAACTTCTCATATTTTCTTGATGTGGGACCTTAACATTTGCAAACTACTCAACACATTCTGCCAAAACAAATACATTCCCATAGATTTGATTCGATTTTGTGTTACCACCAGCAAAACATGAATTCGTATTCGAAGTGATTCATCATATTTACTGACACCAAGGAGAAAGGGAGAAACCGTATCTCTGATTCACCTGGACATCTCCTACGTTGGTCCTTGATGTCATGTCTTACCTTTAAGAATCACCATCCTACTGGCAGCTGCTTTGGATCACTTATGTCGCATCCGGAAAACTTTGCTGAAATTGGATGAGGAATATTTATTGTTGCTGGTTAGTGCGCTTACATTTGAGCAATGCGCAACTCTCCTGGACAGGGAAAAAGAAAAAAGTGAAAGAGAAAAGAACGTAACAAATTTAGTTCAGGGAAGTAGGGAACTACTTTCATCATCTACCTCATTTAGTTAGATACGTTCACCTAACAGTCTCCAGTCACAGAGATCTTCAACCATTCAACGGGTGGAACGAAAAACAGAAATAAATTTCTAAACCCAACGTTCTTCACATATGTTTGGTTTGATTTGACCTAGTTTCTAAAGAGATCTTCCCTATTACAAAAGTTGAAACTGAGCCGAACGAGAAATTTTTTAAAAAGTATTTTTGGTTTTTTTAAAAGCCGTTTTCAGCTTCTAAAGGGGTAGAAGTTGAACCACTTCCGCAAAATTACTCAATCAGCACTTTTGTACAAAAAAATACAAACTCTCAACTGAGTGCTGCTATAGTGCCATCAGACATTTGTAGAAAAAGTTGAAATTTAATGCCTAAAAAGAACAAGGACGTGACCGTTGTATTTTAATCTTTCTGAAATATTAGTCTAAATTTAACTCTGCATGTTTTTCCTACATTTAGAACCCAACATACAGTTTCAGAACAAACTAGATTGATCCTAAAAATGGAACCATATAAACTCAACTAATTATACTCATCAGTATTAGTTAACATTAATAGCAGAAATGCCACGATTTCGAGAAATTTGTATTCCATTCTCTGTAATCTGCATTACAGTTCTCAATACAATATATAGAAGAATATAGTTCCAAAGAGAAGAAGAAACAAGTGAAAAAGGGAAACAACTTCTATCTATAATACAAAGCTTTAGCAGAGGAAAAACAGAGAGAGTAGTGTGGAAGAGGCATACCCTTTTCCTTTCTCCCTCTCTCTATTCAGTATCTGAAGGTAAATGTGAAACATCGACAGGAAGTTCAGCAGCAGCCGCAGCTGCGGATTCCGATTCCTCCTGCATCAAATTCTCCAATCCAGGTTTCAATTCCCTTTGGCAGAATTCCTCGTACTCTCCTCGATCACCTCCTTTCTTCTTCACCTCCACAACCACCAAAGACGGTGTTAACTCGAATATTTCAGCAGCAATTGTCAATGGCCCCTTTTCTCCTTCTCTAGACCCCTCCAAACTCACTCTACAATCCTTCTTCCTCACGGTAAAGCTCACCAACTTTGCAATCTCCTCCAATTTTGATATGATCTTAGAAACCGGCGCACCTGAAACAAACCTTGCTCCTTCCCCTCCTTCCTCAAACAAACCAGATAAATCAAATCCAGGGGAAAAGGATATAAGATCAAAAGCGTTCAAACTAGCTGGTCTAGGTAATGAAGCAACCCTCCTTCTAGTCTCCACTTCTGCATCTGATTCAGACATGGCAGATTGATCAGAACAGGATTCTGTATCATCGTCCTGCTCCTGGTCCTCGACCTTGCATAATTTATCATCCTCAAAGTAAAATTTGATATGCTTAAATCCCTTTTTGAACCACCTGTTCTCCATGATTTCAGGAATTGTTATCCTGGTGTCTGGATTGGTGTCCAGAAGACGGGTAAGAAGCTTAATTAGCTCCGGAGAAAACCATCTGGGACACCTGAATTCCCCCTTGTAAATCTTCTTATACATAGCCATGACATTGCGATCGTTAAAAGGCAAGTACCCCGCCATCAAAACAAACAAAATCACCCCACAAGACCAGATATCTACTTTGGCGGCGTCATATCCTTTCCTCGCCAGAACCTCCGGCGCGACGTACGCCGGAGTTCCACAAAAGGTATGAAACAACCCGTCTTGCCTAATCTGATCAGACACAGCGCTCAACCCAAAATCAGATACTTTCAAATTTCCATTTTCGTCGAGAAGCAGGTTTTCTGGCTTCAAGTCGCGATGATACACTCCTCTAGCATGACAAAAGGCAACGGCGGAGATCAATTGCTGGAAGTACTTCCTCGCAACGTCCTCCCGCAACCTGCCCTTGGCAACCTTGTTGAAGAGCTCGCCGCCGCGGACATACTCCATGACAAAGTAGATCTTGGATTTAGTAGCCATGACCTCGAAGAGTTGAACAATGTTAGGATGGCGAACACGGCGGAGGATCGCGACTTCGCGTTTGATGTGGGCGACGAGGCCTCCCTTGAGTATCTTCTCCTTATCGAGAACCTTGATAGCCACGCTGTCGCCGGTCTTAACATTCCTAGCGTGGTAGACCTTCGCGAAGGTTCCGTGGCCGAGGAGCTTCCCGATCTCGTAGCGACCGAGGAGGAGACTCTGGTTCCTGTCTTTCTTGGCAACGGAGGAGCCTGCGGCGGCGGCGGTGGCAGCCATGGAGGAGGGTAGGTTCGGCGGAGCTAGCTTAAAAGGATTAATGATTTCGCATTGATAGCTAAGATTTGAGCTTTTGTGAGTGGGTGGTGTATAAGAAAAGTGAATACTGAATACGTTTATATTTTAATAAGCGAAAGAAAATGAGAAGCTCTGGAGTATATACTGTCCGCTTTCGCGTCCCTCACGTCGGTACTTAAAGTACCGTCCGTTAATTCGCTGTTTTTCTGGACTTTTGTGCTCATTTTTTAACAGGCCGATTAAATTATTAAGTGGGGTTAGTAATTAGAAATTACTCTATTCGTCGAATTTTATGTAATAAAATAGTGATTAATAATTTATTAATAAAATTTTATATTTAATTTTAATTAATTACTATTACTTATATAAAATTTTTA